TTATGTTGTTATTGTTGAGACTCTGTAGGGATTGTTGTTATTTGGTGAGCATGGGTATTATCCATGCCACAACGTTTGACTATGTCTTGTTTTAGATTCGAGTTTTAATAATGTATCAGGATATTGTCCGGACTACGTGTTGTAGTTCCGTGACATAGATACTCACTTGTTTATATATGAGGTATTTCAGTTAGCTGTCCTTTGCAATTTACATACAAGCATTGTTTTGGAAAATGAATTAAGTAACCCAACTTGGTAATGATAATGACGTCATAATTGGAAAAGAAAAATATATTCCGCATTTTTATATTAAGCATGGCTTAATACGATGACATGTCAACAAACCGGGCATACACGGGGTGTTACAAAAGCCGAAGGAGGAGATACAGTCAGATGTGAACCCATATAAACATCTGGAGAAACCGAAAGTGGGGAAATAGGTTGCAACTCATTAGGAGAAGAGGTGACTAAAGGAGAGTCAGACACCGGGACCGAGAAAGATGGAAGGTATTCAAAGGAGGCGGCATGGATAGATGAATGAACAGAACCAGAATCCATAGGAGCAATAGTTGAGTTAAAAATGGAACTGATTCGATGAAGGAAACATCTATTGAGATAAAGTATATAAAAGATGGAGAGGATGCAGAAAGATACCTGATGAAGAAAATGAGAAATGAGAAGGCGATAAAGAGCAGAGTTGCAACTCTTAAAATAAATGAATCTTCAGGAATGCAAAAACCCAGAAGCCGAAGAAGAAAACAAGAGAGAGAAGGGATGAAATGCTAGGTAATGTGAAGATGCTGAAGAGAAAAGAGGAAATCAAAAGTTGAACGCGTGAAATGAAAAGGCAGGGACAAATATGTCAAATCAACACTGACAAGACAGTTGAAGCGATATTCAGACATCAGCATTAAATGTGCACAACACACGAAGGCGACACTCTAGGCACATCTTTCCAATTAGATAGCAACACATGTAAATATGAAATCGCCAAAATAAAGTCAAGAAGACGCAACGATTAGACCACATATCCCGGATAATGGGCAACGATACAACTTCAAAGGAAAGAACAAGTATACAAAGTATTGATTTTGGATCATACTCCCAATACCAAACAATGAATCCAAAGCTCGACTACCAACGAGCAAGGATGAATTGCAATAAGGACTTGCCCGTCTTAAATAGCGAAATAGAGAATATGATACATTATTTGAAATACGAAGATCATATCCTTTTATATTTATCTCGGCAACACAGACTCCTATACCATCGAGCTGGGGGACAAATAAATTATTTCTCAAAATCTACACTCAACAATAAAGTCAACAGAGTTGAGATATTAACACTAATAACCAACTACAAATGAAAAAGATGATGTCAAATTATAACTAGTATCAAGCAATAACTACACGGATCCCCAGCGAATTCCGGCTATAGCTTGGATACCAAACTGGGATCATAAAGTTGCAAATATAATGCACCTAGGTAGCCCAAATATCCAGACTACCGGGACAGGGGACACCTGTTATGAACCTGTATAAGAGGCTCATGCTATATAAACTATGAAGTCAAATAATAGGCAATAGAAAGAGAAAATTAATGTGACTAAAGGAAAGTATCAATCTAAGATACTAATCATAATACACAGCAACGAACCTGACCATGGGCTTATTAAAGAGGCACCAAAGGTCAGGAATTCCACTACCTAAAGGTAAATCCTATAAATAAGAGGTAAAACCTACATGTATGAACACTTACTCTATCTTTACTATTATGTTATTATTGTGCATACACACTCCCCCTTTGACTAATGCCATTATTACCAGTGAACAATAATCTGCTACACTCAAAGATATCTAATTTATAGATATCTGATTAAGCATCTAGATCCAAGATTAATTTGCTAATTTTTTGACTAGATATCTTTTTCATTAGTACAGAACAATTTATAAAATGTTTTATTTAATACTTCAGATTTGTTTTTTACAGTTGTATTGTTTAATTTTTAAAAATGAAAAATATTTTATTTGATTACACCTAGAGTCGTTATTTATTATTTTCCTCCATATGTATTGACTCTTTTGCTTCCAACGCATTATTCCAGCTATTAGCTTTTTTACTTTTTGCCTCTGCCAAAAGTTGTTTAATCTGTTCATATTTAATTTTAAATATCTTGAATAAATATTTAATGATGTACTTTTTCATTTTGAGTTAAATTAAATAAATTTATGTACCAAAAAAAAAAAAAATTAAATACATTTTTCAAAAAGCTAATGAAATTTTTTTAAATTAGCTATGAATAGATTCAGGACTTTTCGTGATAGGCAAAAAAGGTCAAAAAGTTTAATACGTGAAATAAAGCATTAGGAGAAAAAGAGTTGTCAATGCTTATCCCGAAAAAATGAAAAATGATGAATAACAGCGTGCAGATGTAACAAAAAAAATTCATTATTACTTTTGAAAATAATACAATACAGTGAAGCTCTGAACTAAATTCATTATTACTTTTGAAAATAATACAATAAAGTGAAGCTCTGAACTAAATTCATTATTACTTTTGAAAATAATACAATACCGTGAAGCTCTGAACTAAATGTTTAAATAAAAGTATATATATATATATATATATATATATATATATATATATATATATGTCCCAGATGAGAAAATTATATGAAAACTTATAAATATAATTAACTTCTTATTTATAATATTAGAAAATAAATTATGAAAAAAAATTGATAGTTTGCTATTTTAAAAAAATGGTTGCTTATAGTTAAAATAATTTCTCTATTTAATATAAAAATTATGTATTGATCATAACATTTAAATATTTTGATACAATATTAAGAATTTTATATCAAAATATAAAAAGATTAATTTATACACATTTTTATAATAATATTAATTAAATAAATAATTTTATGTCATACGATAGTCTTGGAGGTAAAAGTTGGATAAATACTTCTACCAAAAAAAAAAGTTGGATAAATACATTGTGGAAGGATCGATCACACGTTTAACAGTAGTAATTTTAATCTTTATTATATATATTATTAAACGATAACTAACAGATAATAAGAATGATAAACCTAAAATAGTAGTATGTATAATTATCTTGAAAAATATTTCTGCAGTTAATGCAGATAAGTTATCTACATTTACTTCCAAAACGACGTCGTTTTGGCATTGAAATATTAAAAAATTATAATTATAAAGACTATAATAACCTTGAAATAAATTAAAATTATAAAAACATCATGATTTTCGCCACGAAACGACGTCGTATTAGGCTTACTACAGATAACTTATCTGCATTAACTGCAGAAAAAAGCAAACCCATAATTATCCCTATTATTAAATATAATTTGTAGTTTTATTAAAAAAATTGGAAAACTTTTATTTTCAAATATGTATTTATTGGACGAGACAATAGACATTGTGAAGAGGAGAACATTGATTGATATACAATTTAAAATTTTATTGAATAATACCCTTTTTGCTCGTTTCTATAGGAGAATAAACTAAGGAAGTTCATTATCAGATGTTTGACATGCGGTGATATATCAGATGATTGGGTTTCATTTTCCAATATTTGTGTATATGGATGTTCACATATATGCTGATGACATATGGAATAAATATGCTTGAAGAGTTTTGATACAGTTTCATTCTTTTTGCACCATATAGAATACGCTTGAATGTATGTTACATTTTGGCAAATATCAAAATACCCAAATTCACGGTAACTAGGAAACTGTATACTATAACATTAATTTAGGATGATTAACTCGAAATTAGTTTTATATTTGTACAGGCCATTTTCTCCGCCCAGATTGTAGGTACGCCGCAAAGGAATAATTAGAATCTTAACATAAATAAAAAAATTTATATAATATTTTCGAAAGCCCCGTAATGGAATTGAATGTAGCAGCACCAAAAACGGCTTGTTGACACTTGAGCTAAGGCATTAGCTTTTGATTTTTATATTCTTCATTCCCCCCACCCCCCTAACAATGTATTGAATTCAGATCTTTCCACTTTAATCTTTTAGAATGGGGAATTCTTTTTTGTTTGGTTAAGTGTGGCTAATTACTCAACAACATTGATTTTCATAAATAGTTTACATATATATAGTTGTCTGTTTGGGCATGACAAAGTATGCTTCCATTTATTATTTAGTAGTATTGTAGGTTTCATGCAATTGAACAGCCAGCACAAAATCTTCTTATTTTTATGAAATTGGCTTTAAATAATTCAATAAATAACACTCCATACTCTTCTCTAGGATTGGCTTTAAATTATTTAATGATTAAATTTAATTATTATAATAGCTGAGTTTAGACTAGTTTAAAAAAAAAAAAAGAATATTATGCTATAATTTTTTGTCATATGTTATTTTTTCTTTTGGATTCCACGACTCTTATTACTTTTTTGGAGCGAGCCAGGTCCTTCAGCTATTCCATAACCCAAGTGGGAAAAGGAACTACACAAATATGAGATTAATCCTAAGTCAAGTGGGTATCAATTATTCAGCAGCTCTGACTTCAAAGATTCTCTCCCAAATTCGAATCGATACTCTTTTGGAAGTTCATCCTTATTTGAGTATATTACCACTTGAGCCAACCCTTGCGTTGGTTATTTTTTTTTAATTTGTAAGAAAAAAATAAAATTACTTTTATTAGGTTTTTTAATTAAAAATACTTATTTAGTTCTCTTTAAAAATTGTGTGGAAATTTTTAATTAAGAAAGATTTAAAAAAATCAACAAATGGCCCAATAGAACTTTGTAGCCATTGTGTTGAGAATCCAATTGGCTCCATTGACAAAATAAATTACAATGAACAGCTTCTTGTTTAACTTTAAAAGGGAAAGATCAAAACCCTTTTCATTAAGTCCATTTGATGTTCATCTAAAACTTGTTTCACATTTCATGATTACAACTTGATTTGGAGTGGCACAAGAGAGGTTTTTTTAATCTTATAAAAGAAAAGACAGAATATGGATTTCTTGCAACTTTTCTTTGTTGCATTAATGCCAATTCTGAAAGTTCTGTTGATTACTGCTATTGGGACATTCCTTGCAATTGAACGCTTTGGCATACTTAGGGAAAATGCCAGGAAGCACATGAATACTGTAAGTTTCATTTATTCCAAAATACTGTAACATGCTCCAAAGTTTCAAATTTTTTGTTCATAATTGATTGATCTATTACAGTATTTTATGTCCCCCCCCTAAAGAACAAAATAAGGACATTACATGGTAACTAACAAATAATATGAGCATTTTTATTTTATTTTATTTTTTCACAGATGGTATATTATCTCTTCACTCCAGCTCTTATCTGTAGCAGCCTGGCTAAAACCTTAACTTTTAAGAGCATGGTTATGCTGTAAGCTTGTACTTTCTCACTATTCTCTGACATGTTTTGTTTCTATTCATTTGATTGGTTAGAAGAGATGCTTGCTTTCATGAATAATGTAGGTGGTTCATGCCATTAAATGTTCTTCTCATATATATTATTGGGACAGCTCTTGGATGGTTACTTGTTAAAATAACTAGAGTCCCTCATCATTTGCAAGGCCTAGTCATGGGATGCTGTGCTTCAGGCAGGTTTATTTACAGATTTAATTTTTTTTTTCTTTATATACAGGGGTTTGCATTCATCATGCGACATGACCGCAAAAAGTTTCCTACACACACAATATTTTGCGGGGCCCGCATCTTTTGAAGCAAAAAAAAAAATCACGGCACACTAAACAAATCTCTATACATAACGCGATCACTTTTCCTACAACATAATTTTTATAAAACCCTTATATATATAGCGAGAGAGAGAGAGAGAGAGAAATAGAGAGGAGAGTACCAATTTATAAGCTTGTAAAAATAACAAGTTTGACACTCAATCTTAACCGTTGATTTCACTTGGATCTAATGATTAAAATTGAGCGTAGCATTTATAACGGTGTAAGATTGGGTTATTCTCATTAATTAATTATTAATTCTTAATAAATTATAACCACTAGATGCACAGAAATTAACGGTTAAGATTTAATATAAGATCTATTATTCTTATACCGATGTAAGTTGATCATGTTGTAACTTGATCTTGTCCCTACATAAATATATATATAGGCAATATCATTTAATACCGATGTAAATTACATTTTCAATCTTAGTTGTTGATTTTATTTGTATCTAATGGAATCATGTGACTGACAAATTAGAATCCTTGGATGCAAATAAATCAATAGATAAGATTGAGTGTAAGACTTCTTGTTATTTGGTGTTGGTTGATCATACTCCATATGTGTGTATTATGAAAATTTTCCATTTGATGTCTACAGGAAATCTTGGCAGTTTGGTTTTTATTATAGTTCCAGCTCTCTGTAAAGAAAGAAGCAATCCTTTTGGAGATGTAGATGTTTGCTACAGAAATGGACTAGCTTATGCTTCTCTGTCAATGGCAGTATGACACTAATTTTAAACATTTGGAATTTAAGTATGTCCATCACACAGTAAAGTTGAGATTTCAGAATTATTTTAAACATTTTCACTGTATTTCTGGTTTTTCAGCTAGGATCCACTTACTCTTGGTCAATTGTGTACAACATTGTCCGCATATATTCATCCAAGATTTCCAATGTTGCCAAAGTTGAAGAATCCATAGTAAATCCATTGCCAGGAACAGAAACTGATCCAGAAGACCATTCAAAGTGTTCCATAAGAGCTTTGTTTACTGCTGAGGACAAATCACAGCCTAATGATCGCATGGATCAACTTGAAGTTGAATGTAAAGTTCCTGATGAACAAGCACAGGTTGTTGTATTTTTCTAAGGGTTCCCTTTTTGTCATTTGACATGACAAGAACACTTTCCTACACACACAAATCAAGTGTGGGTCCCACGCTTAAAAAAAAAAGTCAGACCAAAGTCAGGATACAACGCCGTATCCTTAGGATACGACGCCGTATCCTTGTTGCAGGAATGAACAGTGCCATTCCTGCAACATGATTCTTATATTTCCCTTTTTCTAATGTAGTTACTTTATGTAAACATTTCTACATTGCATGAATTTCTTTCTCATTTTACTCTTTGACCACTGAAGTCTCAAATTCATTAATTGGAATGCATCAAAACCTTTATAGTGTTACCCCGTTAACATCCACTCCAACTTCTTTTTTGGATTCCACGACCCTATTTATTTTTTTGAGGCGAGTCATGCTCTGAGTATCCCCACGTGCTAGGTATGAGACTAATTTCGAGTCAAGCTGTTTGGTATTATCCAACTCTGAACTCAAAGGTCCTCTACAGGATTCGAGTCCATGCTCTTTTGGCAGTTTGTTCATCCATCATGGGGCTCATGTTATCACTTGAGCCTTGGGTTACCTCCAACTTCTTATACCAGACAAAGATGCCAGTTTCTGATTTTAATGAAATCTTATATTGTTTAGCTCAGAGTTAAATTGAATGGTATAAACAAGAATGGTTGGTGACTTAGGTATTACTATCTGCAAAGTGCTCTATCTAGTGGGAAAAAAGTAAAAGAGATAAATGGAATTAAAATGGAATATGACATGTCTTCATATACTAAAGACTTTGTACAAACGATGCCTTACATTTTCAAGAGTTTCACAGGTACCAGAAAAGCTAAAGATTATGAAACACCTCAAAATATTAGCTGATAAGATCAACTTAAGGACACTATTTGCACCTTCAACGATGGGAGCGGTATGTTCATAATTTTCCCATTTATCTCAGTAATCTTCCAATTATTTTCAATGAAGTAATTCATTTGAAGGAGATGGTATACTATGAAGTATAGAATGAGGTATTATACTAGTCACAATACAAATAATAACACTGACTCAGTCATATCAAATTCACAGCAATTACTATGTTGAAATTTGTTCTTAGCTTCAACATAGTAATTGATATGACCGAGTCAGTGTGTTAGACCAATGCCTACTTTGAACAAGCTTCATCAATTAAATTGTTTAACACTGAAGCTTAAGAAGGCATTGTTATCTTGATTTAATTTTGTATTGAAGCCTTATTAACTCTTCCAAACAATGATAATTTTGTTTTCCTTGTGTGTATGCAGATTATTGGTTTAACAATTGGTGTAGTCCCTCAATTTCGAAAACTACTAGTAGGTGATAGTGCTCCTCTCCATGTGTTTCAAGACTCTGCAAACATGATAGGGTGAGCATCCTCTACCACCTATTTGGGCATTAGATTAAAATATATTTAGCTACTTCCTTTTACTGTACTCTTTTTCTTTTCCCTTTTGCTTGGTTTTCAGGGATGCAAGCATTCCATCAATGATCTTATTGCTTGGGGCAAATCTTCAGGGTAATCAATCAATTATCAATAACATCAATTTTTCAATTTTGTCATTCATCTCTTGGGTTGAGTTAAGAGGGCGAGCCTGGAGCAATGGTACAGTTGTTCCTTTGTGACGGAATGGTCATAGGTTCGAATCTAGAAAACAGTCTCTTTGTAAATATGCAAGGATGAGGTTGTGTACAAGTATTACCCTCACACGAACCCTGAATTAGTTGGGTTAAAGGGGAGTGATTTTATCTCTTGGGCTGAGTTCAATATAGTAGTTACATTTGAAAATGAGTATGAGGACAAAAATTGGTTGCTTTTCAGGTATAAAAGGATTAGGAATGCAATTTCCACTTATTATTGGCATTATTGTGGTTAAATATATTGCCTTGCCAGCAATAGGAATAGGCATTGTTAAAGGTGCAGTTCACTTCAGCTTGATCCACCCTGATCCTTTATATCAGTTTGTTTTACTGCTCCAATTTGCCCTTCCACCTGCACTAGTCGTGAGTAAGTTGCTTATGAATTATGATACTTCAGTTCCATTTTAAGATGTTACTATACACTATAAGTTTTTTTTTTTTTTTTTTTTTTAAAAAAGAATTTAGTTGGAAAAATATTCATTTTATGACTGTATCAGGTACAATTACTCAATTGTTTGGAGTTGGTGAGAGTGAATGCTCAGTTATCATGTTAGCAACTTATTCCTGTGCTGCAGTTTCACTTACTTTCTGGTGTACATTCTTTATGTGGCTTGTACTATGACTCTTTTCTGTTGCAAGATGTTTTTTTTTTTTTTTTATGATTCACACATGCCTCACTGACAAAGTTTCACACAGTGTAGAAGTGTGGAAACCATATAATCATATATGATGTAACTTTATGCTATAATTTGTAGCCAAAGGTAATGTGAGAAAGGGGAAAAAAGATCTCAGACTAAATAAAATATTCACCATTGTTATCTTTAATTTAATACAACCGACCAATTAATTTTAGATAAAGGTGATGATTTTGTTCTTATAATATGAAGTAATTTTGAACTGCCACAATGCATAAACAATAAGGCAAAAGGACTAACATCTAGACACGTTTTCAGTGAACTAGTATCATTCTCAAAATACATTAGATAACTACTGAAAAATCATATTTTCTAAACCAATACCCCACCATCATATGTGCAAGCTCTGATAAAGAATGTACACCAGTGGGAGATTCTAATTGACCACACCTAAAAAGTTAAAAAGTTAGCCAGTGGGAGATTCTAAGGCCATGATAAAACAGAAAGTGAATATAAATATAAAAAAAAAATATTTTCTAATATTGTTGGAGATGTCTTGTCTCATGTTATACAGATAAATGTGTGGGGTTCACCATTTATAAAAAAATAAAATTAAATTAAAATTAAAAGAATTCACATATTTATCTCTATTCTCTATAACATGAGATAAGATATCTCCGATAATATGAGATTAATAAATCCATAAATATATAAGGAAAACAATCCATTTGTTGGGGTCAATAACATATTTTTCATTTCATTTTGTATATTGATTAAGTCCAAATTAATTTAATCAACATTCTACCTATAGTTGACCAATTAATATGATGTAGGTTAACTATTATTTAATGGTAAATAGATTATTGTTTAGTTATGTTTGTATTTTGAATTGAATTATATTATTATTTAATTAAAAAATTAGAAATTTGGTAAACAAACTTTTGAGTCATTTTTCTAAATATAAATGTGTTAAAAAATATATATAAATAAAATTGTACTTCAAGCCAACGTAAAAAATAATGATTTATGGAAATAAAAATGTACAGTACTGGAATAGTGGAATGGTAGACACGCCGTTGCTTTTGCAAGGAAAAAGGAATCTTTATTTCCGCTGATAAAGGCTATCATCTCATATCAGATGAAAATATTTTTAATGTTAAAAGCAATTTAGGTATTAAAATACTCAATGAATTAGTTTGTTGTAAATGGCAAATTTCAGTGCACATGGCTTTTTTGACTTACGAGAGAATAGAAGTAAGGATAAATTGAATGCCGCTTACCCTTCCATTTATGCCAAAAAATTGTCACCAGATTCGACTTCATGACGTTCCCGTCAAAAAGAATAACTTTACCGTTGTTCAATCGTCAAATAGTGGTAATTCAATTCATAATAAGTGAGTTGATTAAGTTAAAAGGAAAAGATCGCGTTTTGATCTTTAAAAATCATTTTTAAAAGGGATTTAAATATTTTTATCACTGATTTTCCCTGCATTCTGAATTAGGGGTGTGCATGAGTCGAATTGAACTGAATTTTTTTAAGAACTTAACCAAATTAATTTAAATGATTCGTTTGGAAATTGATTCGGTTAAACTTGAAAATAATTTTGTTTGGTTCAAAATCAGTTCGCGTCGAACCTATTCTAAAAAGAAAATTAAATAAAAAAGTAAAGAAATAAAATAATAAAACGATTCGGTTCATTTTGGTTCTTGAACTAATTTCTAAAAATCAATTCAGTTCATGATCTGATTTTCCAAATCGGTTATTTTAAGAGTAGTTCGGTTCAGTTCATAGTTCAGTTCAACTTTTTGGTTCTTTTGCACACCCCTACTCTAGGGATAAATCTTTGGTACTACTACTGTTGTACTTTTACCCAATTGGGTATAACATTTTTTCAATTTTGGAGAAAAGTACAATGTGACGAAAAAAAGAAATTGGAAAAATATTGAAATTTTTCCAAAATTGAAAAAATATTGCACCCACTTGGATACAATAGTAGTACCAAAGATTTATCCCTACTCCGAATTAATTCCATAGGTTGTTCAAAGAGTCAAAGCATACTAGAATGAGTCAACTCGCCTCAAAGAGTTAATTATGATTGAGTTAACTCAAAAAAAAAAAAAAAAACAATATATATTATAAGATGAAAATGGAAATTACAGACAACTATCGTGTTTGAATTAACTTATTTTATATTCAAAAAAAATTTAATTGAAAACTTCTTCAGAGGATTTTAAATAATAATAATAATTATTATTACAATTATTTTATAAAATAATATTATTCAATCATTATAAGTAAATGTTACTTTTAAGGTTAACAACAGTTATTCTAGTTCCAGAAGTGAAAGGGTAAGAGAGGGCCACTTTATAATGATGAAGTATTACAAAGAAGATGCAGGGTATCCAATTCTCCTAAAACCCTTAGAAACTTATACTGTAAATTTAATAAAGGAAAAGACAATAATCCTACACAGGAGACCCTTATCTAAATTCAAAAGTGCAGGTAGATTGACACACATTGCAAACATATCTCATTGCAATTACACTAAACAGCATATTTTCTTGTGTCACAATCATGCATGTGCCTACTTTAAGCCACAGGCTAGTTCCAAGCCAAGAATCAGACATAAGAATAGGAAAAGAAAAATATTACTTATGTCCTTAAAAAGAATACCTTGCTTTCACCAAACAAATAGATATACTCACTCCCTAGGCCCTCATTCTATCTTGCAATATATATTGGCCAAATATAGTTTCTTTTATTGTCAATCATTAATTCACAAAATACAAAACATCATGGGGATGCTTATGAGTTTCATGGGAGGAACAGGTCACACATTATCTTTTATTTTCTGCCTTTTATTGCATAATTAGTACTCTATTGCTAAGTTCTGTTTTGTTTTTTTAATCTTTGTTAGTCTTAAATTAATGGCTTTGCATTATATAATTTTTGCATTTTAGCAGATGGGTTAGCATCCAAGACTACGACTCTTGTAACAGGAGCACTCTATGATCAATTTATCAAGAAAGAGATCAAAGACTTTGATGACTTCCACATTGCCATTCTTGATATCTTCAAGTAAGCATATGGTTTCAATGGAAATTTCTGTCATTACTTGTTTAAAGAAAAGGAAAAATATGCAAGTAAGAAAACAAATTATTTCATCTATTTCAAACCTCTTACTAATAATAGTATAAAAGTTAAAATTATCTTAATGGAAAATGATTTTTAAAAAAAAAAACAATTATTTAAAATACTTTCATGGAAAATTATTCTTTTAATTAACTGTAAAACCGATTCAATTTGGAAAATACAATTACTTTTCCATTCTTACAGTTGTGTTTTTTAAATGGGTGAGAACATATCCATTGATAGCTGAAATAAAAAACACAAGGCATTTTTTAATATAAACATTAGGAATTACGACACTATTGCTCGATAAATTAAGGGAGAGGTTATATTTATAACTTATTTTTCCTTACAACCTCTTATAACCATTTTCTTTATCATTGGATGAAAATCAAATCAATGATTATAAAATAACATTAAGTAAGAGCTGTTGATTTAATTTTAATCTAACATTAAAGAAAGTGGTTGTAAGGGGAAATAGGTAATTATAACCTCCTCATAAATTAATTTGCAGGTTCAAAAACTAAAAAAACTGAGCCTTATTCATCCATGATGTTTCTTTACCAATCTTTCAACAAAATAATAATCATGGAACCAAATTTAATGACCCCCAAATTTCCCTATGATAAGTTTGAATGAGGCTTAAATTTATGCAACTTTGATAAATAGATTTCCAAATTAATCAGCATATAACATCAGTTCTAATTAGAGTTACTAACAATTTTTTTCCCCATAGCAATTTCAACACGGCCTTACCCGGCAAGCATTATGATGCACCATCACACGGTGAAATCTGGGTCAGTTAACTCTTCCCCAACTTTTGTTTAATCTACATGCATCCCTCCTTAACTGACATGTTTCTAACAAGCAGGATTTGTTTAATAAATGGAATGGTGCACCAAAGGAACATAAAAAGAAGATTTTCACTGAATTCATGATTAAGAATGTGAGTATCAGCAAAGTGGATGACTCTATGATGATCACTGGGATAGTGGCACCCCCAGCAGCTATGGTAGCTAAGAGAACAGGACAATCTGTGCCCCAACTAAGTGTTATGAAAGCCATCCCTGATGTTGCCTTTGTGCCCACAATAACAGTTTTGGCTCTCATTGGTGTTAAGCTCACCAAAAGAATGTCATTCAAGAAAATTGCATCCTAACTTTCACTTTCGATGCATGAAAAGCAGTGTAATATGCACATTATGAAGTGTAATGTTTCATATCGTTCATGGTATTTCCAATGCAAATGATCGTGAACTTGACATTATTTAATAGTACAACCTTTGCACATAAAGAGACTAGAATGAGACCCTCATCACATGGAATGCTGCAAAAGTAAAAAGCTCCATTCGATTGCTGATTTAACAATTCCAACCTAAATCAAGAAATAGTATTCCAAAAATTTACAAAAAAAAGCTTCCCTTAAAGAATAGAGCACGCTATAATATTCACACCATGTGCAATTGAACTAATTCCTTGTTGTGTAGAAGAGTGTAAAACACAAACAGCATTTACAAATTACGATAGAAGCAGATTGCAGCATGTTTGAGAAATTCTCAATACCTTCAGCTGTGTTAATCATTCTAATTGGATTCATCTTAACCATATGCTCCCACCCTTAGAGCCAGATTTCTTCCTTCCATTCCTTTTGTTCCTAGGGACATATGACTTCAATGTAGGACATGATTTCAGAGTAGAAAGAAAATTAGGCACATTATTCTCAGTGGCCAAGTCAGGTTCTGAAACTTGAACCTGGGAAATGGATTTATTCCCTTCAACTGCCTGATTTCCAATATTCTCAAAACCATGCACCTCTTTCATAGCTGCTTGATATCGTATAACACCATCCTTGGTCTGCACATAAGAAAAGGCCAATACTATAAATTTACAATGAATGTAATGATTGTAAAATATATACAACCTCAGCAGTTGTATGCTAGAGAGCTCATGACTATCAGTGTGCCATTAATTCAAAATTTTAAACAATAATTGCAGGCTTGCAGCATGGAAATAAAATACACATCAAAGCAAATAGCATTCACATCACAAGTGTAAATCCTTCCATAGGAAATGAGGACTGCAATTTCATAATATTAGAGTAAATGTAATATGGTTGAAAATATGTCGAGTGTGGGTTAGAGTCTGTTCGTGAGTTAGAATCTGTCAGGTTCAGTTAGTGTGTGTTTTCAGTATAACAGACTTCCGTTTAGATAGTTCCAGAAGTTAAGCTTCATTCTGTAATCTCTATATATGTTTAGTTTCCTTTTGGAACAGTAATCAATACAATCAGATTCTTCTTTCACTCAGAAATTGCAAATTCTCTCTTCTTTTTCTATGCTTCATCTCTATTTGACATACCAAAATGTGCTTCCATGAAATACGTATGATTAAGGGGCAGGTATTACATGGCATAAGTAGTATATGCACACAGTTATTTATGAAATAGTTTCAAATTTTAAAATAAAATATAAAAAATTATAACATGTACAAATATGCACAAGAAAAATATAACACCACCAACAAAGATATTCACTTGAAAAAAACAATGGGTTGTGCATCTCAATTTTTCAACCCTGCTATAAATTGGATAACAAGAAATAATACAGAGCTATAAATAACAAAATGAATTACACTTTTGTAATTGGTTAAGAACAAAAAGCTTATGTAAATTCAATCCAGAGAGTTTAGTCACAATTTGACCAACATTTCACTCTACACAAGCTCACTTAAACATGTTCCACCCTTCCCCACCTCCTCTTAATAACCTTATGCTTCATTCATTTATGCAAAACATCACAAACTGCGCACTAAGTTCGATCTTACCCTCTTCCATTAGAACCCAGTGTGTCTTACTACACATGGAACCCAAGATGCGGATGCCCAGATCATTGACTTCTTTTCCAATTATCCGACTGTCCTTTGAGTTTTAGATCTTAAAAGAGTCTGAATTCTCCTTGCTATAACTAATTCTTAAAACTATGTTTGTGCTGTATCACTAAGTGTTCAAATAAAAGGAAATGCAAGGATATGTGACAGGTAAGTAGCCATATCCGTTGGGCACATTGTCCAATGACATGACATGTCTTGCCATATGCATGCTTCATGGAAGAGTTACAATGGAAAATAAACCTTGAAGCGCAACAAGTTTTAGTGTAGAAAGAATGAAATTTGACATGATCAATCAACAATTCCAAGCAACAATAGAGTTTATAACGCACAACTTCCATCCACCAACTATTATTGAAATATTGACAAAGAAATCAGAATAATCAAAAGCTGAATAAAAATTATGTGGCATCTCATTTCTCAACCGTTGTGAAGAACTTCCTTCACAAAAATAACTTCACAGAAACCCACAAGAATGGTACTAGCAATTGCAAAAACCAAAAGCATGGTGCAAGCAGTCGAAAACTCAATTGTTACAAATATATATATATATACATATATATATATATATCTATGTATACATATATGTATACATAGATATATATATATATATATATGTATATCTGTATATATATATATATATATAGATATATAGAACTCTAAATAAGTTTTGTATAGAAACCTTACATCTTCCCATGGATCATCAAACTCAGGCCTGTCAGTGGTTTCTCTGGTAACTATTATCCCTTGATGACTTGATGATGCATTTACTGACATAAGTTGATCTCTCATGTGAAACTCAGATTGATGTTGATCTCCCATGTTCAATTGAGTTACAGAACAAAAATTTCCAGGATTTTCACTAACAACATTGTCAAGTCGAGTTTTCAATTTGTTAAGTTGTGACTTTGCTGCTTCAATCTTTTTCAAGATGTAATCAAAGGATTTATTATCATTTTCATAGTCTACAGAAGACGACGTAAAATTCCACTTGAACTCCTCATTAATATCCTTGTTATCTCCTGATATCAATCAAACAGAATGTTAAAATATAAATTTATAATCCTCATGGAAACAAATGATCAAAACTAAACCTGTAAGTTAATACACAAAAATCAATAAAAAAACCAGTGTATGTAATTCTTTGTACTTGTTTGATTCACAATATCAGGGTGAGATAAACTAGAAAAGAAGATTTGTATATTATTGAATCGTATAATATCTGGACAAGAGCTCTCTATTTAACGAGTACTAAAAGACCTAATGGGCTAAGCCCAAAATACACTTTTACAGTATTCTAGCTAATACAAATAAATAGATAAAATTCTAATATTTACAATACTCTCCCTCAAGCTAAGGAATGGATATTTATCATTCTCAACTTGTTAGTGAGCTCTTGAAACCTATCATTAGGTAGACCCTTAATCAAGACATCAGTCAATTGACGACCATAATGGATGTATGGAGTAGTAATCAGGCCACTATCGAGTTTCTCTTTGATGAAGTGGCAATCAATCTCAATATGCTTGGTTCGATCGTGTTAGACTGGATTGTGGGCTATATAAATGGCTGACTTGTTATCACAAAATAACTTCATATATCCTTCATATCTCAACTTGAGTTCAATCAAGAATGATTTTCAACCATAATAACTAACAGATCCCTTGAGCCGTGGCCTGAAATTCTGCTTCTGCACTTGATCTAACAACCACATTTTGCTTTTTACTTCTCCATGTTATTAAATTTCCACAGAGAAACATACAATAGCCCGAAGTAGATCGTCTGTCAGTCACAGATCAAGCATAATCGGCATCTGTATAAACCTCTAAGGAGAGATTTCCTACTCTCTGGAACAATAGTCCTCTTCCTGGTGTGCCTTTCAGGTATTGGAGAATCCTGTCCACAGCTCGCAAGTGTTTCTCCCTTGGATTATGCATGAATTGACTAACAATACTAACTGCATAAGTTAGATCAGATCTAGTATGAGCTAGATATATCAATCTTCCCACTATTCGTTGATACTGTCCTTTGTCAACTGGAGGGCTCTCATTTTCACTTCCTAGTCTGTGGTTTTGCTCAATCGGAGTACTGGAAGGTTTGCATCCGAGTTTTCCTACTTCTTTAAGGAGGTCAAGAACATTCTCCCGTTGACAAATAAAAATGCCTTGTTTTGAATGAGCAACTTCTATCCCAAGAAAATACCTCAGATTTTCAAGATCTTTAACTTCAAATTCAACAGTCAGTCTTTTTCTCAAAGCACATTTCTCATCTATATCATCTCCTGTTATAATCACATCGTTAACATAAACTAGAATGATAATGGTCTTACCTTCCTGAGAATGTTTAAAGAAAATGGTATGATCTCCTTGTTTTTACTTGTATCTCATTGAAAGCATAACTTTGGTAAATCTTCCAAACCAAGCACGCGGGGATTCTTTTAAGCCATACAACACCTTCAATCTGCAAACTTTATTATCTCCATTTGTAGAGTTAAATCCTGGTAAGATCTCCATGTAAACTTCTTCTGATTCGCCGTTGAGGAAGGCATTTTCACATCAAATTGTTTCAAATCCCAATTAAAATGAGCAGGAAGAGATAATAAAATTCTTACAGTATTCATTTTGGCCACTAGAGCAAATGTTTCTTCATAGTCAATACCATAGGTCTATGTGAACCCCTTGGCTACCAGTCGAGCTTTATATTTCTCAAGAGTCCCATCAGAATTATACTTTGGAGTATACACCCATCTGCACCCTACTGCCCTTTTTCCATTTGGCCTGTCAACAACTTCCCATGTATTATTCTTCTCCAACGCATTCATCTCATCATGCATGGCTTGAACCCAATTATCATCCTTTAATGCTTCATGTACTAATTTCGGGATTGAAACAGAGTCAAGTGCTTTAATAAAACTTTTATGCTGCATAGAGAGATTCTTAGAGGAAACAAAATGAGAAATAAGATGTTGGGTACAGGATCTTTTCCCTTTCCTTATAGCAATGGGTAAGTCATCAGAATTAATATCAGGCTCAGGAATAAAAGAAGTAGTGTATTCAATACTTACCAGCGATTCAGGCGATTGCAGTTGCTGATGGAGCAGTGTGGGTTGTTTCTTCCTTTGATACACTAGTTCAAGTGTCCCAGCTTTGCGTACTCTTTGTCGATCAATAGGAGGCATGACACATGAGGATTCAAATCCATTTTCAGTCTTAGCAACTAAATCTTCCTTCTCAACTTGGGTAATTGGTGTAGGCAACAGAAAGGGAGACTCAGACTCAGAGAAAATGGATGAAGCTTCTATATTATTCTCCCCCTGAAGCTGAGAGTGTTGAAAGTAGGACTCAGATTCATGAAAGCTAACATCCATAGAGACAAAGAATTTACGATTTGGAGGGTGGTAACATTTGTATTCTTTCTTGTTGGAAGCATAGCCAAGGAAGACACACTTAAGGGCTCTAGGTTCTAATTTACTCCGATGTTGTTTATGGACATGGATAAAGGCAACACATCCAAAGACACAAGTCTGGAAACTCTACATAATAGGAACAGAAGAAAAAAAAGAAGTCATAAGATCAACAGGACTTACATGGCCAAGGATTCGGGAGGATAAACAGTTGATCAAATAAGCTGCAGTTAATACAGCTTCTCCCCAGTAAGAGTTGGGTACAGATGTCTGAAACAGCAATGCTCTGGTGACTTCAAGCAAATGTCGATTTTTTCTTTCAGCAACCCCATTCTATTGAGGGGTATCCACACATGTGAGCTCATTAGTCATTCCTTTGTCTTTAATAAATTGAGAAAGACGCTGATTAACATATTATGTACCATTATCTGATCTCAAACATTTGATACTTTTACCAAATTGGGTTTCAATCATATAATAAAACTGAATAAACAACTGTGCCACTTTTGCCTTATCTTTCATAAAAAATATCCATGTTATCCGAGTATAATCATCAATAAAAGAGACAAACCATTTAGCACCAGAAACATGAAGGACTTTGGAAGGTCCCCAAACATCAAAATGAATAATAATAAAAGGTTCAATACTTTTTATTTCACTAGAAGGAAAGGATACACGATGATGTTTTGCAAACTGACAGACATCACAATTAAAAGACTCAACAGACTGAGACACAAACAAAGACGGAAACATAGACTTAAGTAAACTAAAAGGAGGATGACCCAAGCGTTTGTGATGCAGCCAAATAAGAGAATCTGAAGTAGACTGACAAGTCATCAAAGTCTAATCCCTGGTACCATCTGCAGCAAAGTCTGGAACTAGATAATACAACTCACCCTGCACCTTAGCAACACCAATCGTCTTCCTCGTTGTGAGATCCTGAAAAACACAATGAGTAGGGAAAAAGATTACAGTGCAATTCAAATCTGTAGTAAGCTTATGAGTAGAAAGAGATTGGTAGAAAGTTGGGGAACATGGAAAGCATTCTTGAGACACAAGGAGGGTTGGAATTTAATGTTACCAGAACCTGCAACTAATGTGTGTGATCCATCAGCTACGGCTATAGTACGGATACCAACAGTAGGATTATAAAAAAGAAAACGGTCAGCGCAGCAAGTCATATGATCAGTAACACCAGAATCTACAATCCATGAAGTTTTGAAATCAGTACAAGAAGCAACAAAAGAATGAGTGCATGAGTTCTTACCAGTCATAGCCAAAGTACCAGTACCAGAAGGGTTATTGAGAGATTCAAATACAGACCTAAGCCGTTCCAATTCCTCACAACGAATAATAGTAAACTCACCAGATATATGTGAGGTCTCATTCACAGGAGAAATGTCTAAAAGGGCAAAGAAAGACTAACCAAATGAGGTTAACTTACCAAGCTTCTCCTAAACTTGTTGCTTTCCATGAAGGCGGTAACAAATCTCTTTTGTGTGACCTGGTCTTTTACAATAGTACACCAATGCCCCTCTTTACTAGGCTTAGGAGGAAAAGACCTTGGAGGTGGCTTAGCGGAGACCATAGCAGACCCGTCAGTGGGCTCAAAATCAGGAGTTGGAGTAGTAACTTTAGATGAGAGTATAATAGATCCTTCGGACACTTTGGTATCCATCATGACAGCTCTGCAACTTTCTTCACCCCTGACAGTATGAAAAAATTCAGAAAGAGAAGGTAATTTTTCCTTACCAAGAATTTGAACTCGAATAGGGTCATATTCTGAGTTAAGACCACAAAGAAAATCAAAGATGTTATTGCGTTCAAGGAGGTGGTCAAAGTGGCTGCATCTTTGCTACACTCCATCTTCAAACTCTGGTACTGATCAAGCTCAGTCCATAACTCATTCATAATACCATAATACTCTGTTATAGAGAGAGAGCCTTGCTTGGTAGAAAAAATCCTATTCCTCAGATCATAGCAGGTGGCAGCATCTTGCTTCATTGAGTAAGTCTGTCTAAGAACATCCCAAATCTCAAGAGCGATAAGTAAGAACATGCAATGTTGACTAACCTCGGGAGTCATAGAGTTCCATAGCCACGTCACAATAAGAGTGTCTTCATCATCCCAGTCAGCAAATTTTGGATCTATTTTGGCAGGAACGAACAAGTACTTCAAGATGTGTAATTTTACGACGCCCTTTAAGGATGGTACGAACAAGTTGAAACCATTGCAAATAATTCTTCCCATAAGACGATAATTCTGATGAAGAGGAGGGAGATCATTTGGAGAAAGAATAGCCATCTAGCGTGTACTAGATGATTGACTGGTTGGAGTATCTTCAACGTCCAACATAATAAGGGCTGGAAAAATTTTCCAGTGGCCGGTGGCGATGAATAGTAAAATAAAATAAATTTCTCTTCTGTTTTTTTTTTATGAACAGTACCGATGAACAGTGCACGTGAACACTACCGTTTTTTTTTTGAGTTGTTCCGGTCGTCTAATGAAAAAGAAACCTCTGTAGAATGATAGATTTGAGAAAACGGAGTGAAGCAGGGGTCCTCACAGTCCAAAAGGTCCCCGGAAAAAAAAAAATTGACGGCAGCTTTGTGGCGGGGAGAGGCAAATAGGGTTTGGTTTTTAAAGGCCGTGATTTGAGGAAGCAGAGCCCTCAGAATCGAGAGCTCTGATACCAACTAGAAAAGAAGATTTATATATTATTGAATCGTGTAATATCTATACAAGAGCTCTCTATTTAAAGAGTACTGAAAGACCTAATGGGCCAAGCCCAAAATACACTTCTAGAGTATTCTAGCTAATACAAATAAATAGATAAAATTCTAATATTTACAACAGATAATTTTTGCAAGTTAGTAAATAACAACACCAGCAACATGTATATATTACCACTACTCACCTATAGCAACACCCGGGAAATATTTTGAACAAGCATCAACACTAGAATCTGTTTTCTCTGTAAATGACAGAAGTGAAAGAAAAAAATTAAAAAACAAAATGAAGGGCAGTAATAAATACTATAACAAATGAAGAAGTGGCATACCATGAGAGAATAAGCTATGCTTAGACATGTATGATGCTAAATCACACTTCTCTTCAACTCTTTTCCTTCTTGTCCTCCTCATAACTTTATTTCTGTGCATTCGACCAGATATAGGCATTGATTTGATACCAGAGTCGTCCAATGTTAGGTGTGAAAAATCAAGCTGCTTTCTATAATTATATGCCGCAAGCTCTTTCTCATATTTAAGTGCTTGAGATTGAAGTTGCCTCAGTTGCAATTCAATCCACTTACAGTGCCACATAATTGGGCGTATGAAACTCCTCCAATGAACTGTCACCTTTTTCTTTCTGAATGATTCAACATCAACATCAAAAACTTTAGTGAATGATTGATAGAGAAATTGTAAAATATATAAATGATTGACACTCAAATCAAACACATCACAAATTTTAATCATGGCAAAAATATAACTGACACATCCAAAATTTTATTTTAGAGCTGAACATATTACTTATCAAAATAGAAATTCTGTAATGTCAATCCTAAAAAATAACCCCTAATTATAAAAGTTTCCTCAGACTTTGAAAGATGTTTTCAACGAGGTCAAATGCAAGAAAACTTATATCGGATTATAGTTAGAAAGATTGGATGATAGCTGTAATGCACATTCCTTCTTAATCTGACAAGATTTACTTAATCTTCTAATCCGGGAAATCTAGCTAATTTAAGGTTAGATCAGTGTCATAGAATTACAAACTTTTGTATCTAAACTAACATACTTAAATCATTTTATAAAATTCAAGTCAAACAATTAGCAACATTGTTACATGAAGCGCAAGATTCATTATTTGAATCATGCAATTTGATCCAATGCATGCTCACACTGAACTGCAACTATTAATCAGTAATGGCTATGAATCATGGCAACAATAATGTTGTATTCAAGATAAAAAGAATAATAACACCTAGTAGCCTAGTTCAAACAGTTGGCTTTATTTCATAAAAAATAATAGTGGTGGAGAGATACACTTCTTCACAATGGGATTAACCAATAATCAGAAAAATAGTATGCCTCTGTGGTTCTTATGTATATATAGGAAAAGAAGTACATATAAAAGGATATGGTATCAGTTATTTACTTTTGTTTCATTTTTGCATTCTTGCTTCTTGTAGACAAGGAAAGAAGAATAGATTCATCAAATAATTCAAAGTGAAATATACCTTGGTCGAATTAATTCAGACCAATCGTCGTCACACATGGATGAGGATGCATTGTCAGCACGCATTCGTGATTCAACTTCAGCATCACTGAAATATGAGGCATTCTCTGAGCCAGATCCTGTATCACCAAAAGAGCTGGAACCCTCAGTGACATCCTCACAAGAATCTTCCACCACCAAAGCTTTGCCAGAATTTGTGCACCCAATGATATCAACCTCTTCATCCTCATTTCGACCAGACAAAGGAACTTGTTCCATTTTCAACGTTTTCATGCCACAAGCAGCATCACCCATGTAGTTTTTCCTAGGCTCCAGAACCCTTTGTCCTGAACATGAAGGGGCACGTATATTCTCTGACTTGTTCTTAACCTCTAAGTCCAGACACATTTTCATAAATCACCCAATCTTCACTGTTTAGAGATCATGCAATGACCAGAAAATCATCATTGAAAACATATGAATCACAAGTTTCCTTAAAAATTAAGATACACCACAAATCAAAAGCACGGAAAAATAAAATTGCATCAACTTCAATTTATGACATTTCTTATGACTTTCAATATATATATAAAACTACTACACTCTCCATAGAAGAAGGTAAGTGCAAGCACATCTTGATATACCAAACAATTTGTCAAAATTAATAACCATAGCCACAACTCTTGATATATACACAACGCATAACTAAAAAATTCACTCTTTTTTCATGCAGTGAAAACATGAATTCAGTAATCAGAACAATAGAACCAACAAGCATCCATGAATTCAAATATTCTAAAATGATTCATAAAGAGAAATCAGGTGTAAGGTCCAAAACTTCAGTGGCACAAAAGATTCCAAAATTCATACAAACAGAACAACAAGAAATTTAAAAAGACAAACACTCTCCACAACTTCATATTATTAAAGAAAAAGGGAAGGAATAATACCATCTTTAACATAATAATCATATATCTCACAAAATTGAAAACCCACAAAAATAATTTAAAAAAAAACTCTTACCCATAAACCAGAATCTGAAGCAAACATGTGGGGATTGGATAAAAGGCCAAGACGTTTGCAAGAATCGAAAAACAGAACCACCCTTTAGGATTCCAATTAAAAGAAAAAGAACAAAGTTTCAAAAAAAAATTAAATTTTTAAATTTTTTTTTGCTCTGAGTGCTTTTACTTATTCGAAGTGTTCGTTATCCCATCCATTTCGGAAAAGTATATTAACAAATATTCGGAGTCAGAGATATGAAATTATGAATAGAACATTCCTTTCTTTCCCGAACCGTGATGACCCGACCCGACTCATGACAGGTTGACCAGATTTATTTGTCTACCCAAACTTGATTTAATAGGATTCGATGATTTGAGAATTGATTCTCATATTTATGACTCTTTATAAATCGAGATTTTAAATGATTTACATATCAATTTTTAATGTTAAGTGAATAAATTATTTTATTTTCATTGAAAAAAGTGTATTGATAAATAAAAAAGGAGAATCATTTTATTTGGTAAACTTGATTTTAAAGTTAAGTGAATAAACTTGATTTTAAAGTTAAGTGATTTGATAAAGAAAAAAGTGTATGTCATTTTATACGAACTTTTCTTTCTTTCTTTTTTTTTCAGTGAAATCCATATCATTTTGTGTTTATAAAATAAAATAACTTGTTATATTTAAAATGATATTTTTTTTTTCTTTAATAAAAGGAGAAATGTTTCTCGTGAATATAATTTTATATCATTTTAAATGAAACTATCCGTGTGAAGAAAATAAAATAAAAAATCACCAAAACACAGGAATTTTACTTAAAATGACATAGTGTTATATATTTTAAAATGATATAAATAATTGTTTACCAAAAAAATGATATAAATATTTTTCTTATTAATAAATTTAACAAAAAAAAAATAATCCAAATATATGTTTGATTCTTAGCTTCTATGAAGAGGATTTGTGCAACTATTTTGGGTAGTGTTACCTGAACTGATTGAGACGTGTTGACAGGGTTGTTGACTTGTTGTTGAGTCTTCTTGATAATTGCTCTCAATTGTTGATGATGAATCCCTTTAATATTTCAATGAACAAACGGTGTTGTTGAAGGGACTCTTATTGAGACGAATATGTTGTATGGAAAATATGCGTGACGAAAAGTGTGTTCCTGTATTTATAGATGAATGTGGAATTATGTCATCAGGAAAAAAAAAACATGATTATGATCAAGAAATTAACATTTTTATAGATTACTAGCCGTTGACAGATTTTATGCTATTTGATTGGTTTTTTTTTCTACTGTAATCTTTATTTAATAATTAATTACCGAATTGACCTTAGAAACTATTTTGAAAAATTAACCCTACCAAATAAATATAATAACACTCTGTCCCTGTTTGACCATTGACCATGCAGCCTATTCAGGTATCCCCTTCTTACCCGGATATTTTTTGAAAATTCTATCCTGCCCGATAAGGAGGAAGATACCCGGATAAATTTCTTAAATCTGGATTAATGTTTGAATTATTTACCTGGGTAGGGAGCCCGCTATCCCGATAAATTTCGCGACAAGATGAGACATTTCGCGACAAGATGAGACAGAAACGAGACCGTCTTTAAACAACTTCAAGGCTCAAGGCATGAACACACACCGAGCAAAACGCAAGAAGGTCAAGCTTCAAGGCTTTCAAAGCCAGTGGATCAAACAAAGCTGGATAAAAGGTGGAGCAAGCTTCAATCATCGCAGGCTTAGTCTTCCAAACATTTTTACAGAAAATCAATTGATTAAAACCCAACAACCAATGAACAGAGAGCAAGCGAAACACCAAATAATGCTGCAATTCTCTTGAAATCAACAAGAGCCTGCGAGAAACCTTTCCCTCTTGACCATCAAAAGCATCAAAGAAATGCAAATACATGATCAAAAAATAATGGCACAAGATGGGGTCATAGGAACGAATAATTCCAAAAAACTGCACCTTGAGCATGGATGGCTGCAATGGAACGGAGGCATATTGAAAGGAACCATTAGAACGAAGGTGTTGAGAATGGAGACACTGAGTTTCCGATCCAAGATGTTGTGGATCACTGTGGTGAAGACAGTGGCGGATCCAGGAAATTAATGAAGGGCGGGCACTATTCAAGTACATATAGATCTGGGTCTGGTTTGGAACGCGACTTGCGAGCAGGAGCCGGCTGGCTGGGTCTGGTTTAGATCTAGATTTGGACAGATTGCGACTCAAATTGACCGATGAGGAAGAAAGAAACAAATGTTCCAACTTCTAATAAGGGAGATTGAGGTCTGAGAGGAGATGAATCAGTATGTAGATACAAATGAGCTCTCTGCTGTTAGGTCTGGATAATGAAGATAGAGGAGAAAAAAATACTTACGAGAAAATAAAATAGAAGGAGGAAAATTAAAGGGATAGGATATCGTAACAATCAACTAGGGTTACCACCAATGTTACTACCAATCAATTTCATCATTAGATCGATTATATTGATCCAACGGTTATATTTATTTTCATCTTTGTATGGTTATGATTTCTCATATTTAATACTTTATATTTATTTTCACCTTTGTATTATTATGATTTTACATATTTAATGTTATTACATTAAATATGGGATTAAATATGGGGATCATAACCATACAAGCAAAGATATATATATAATCGTTGGATCAACATAATCGATCTAACGGTGAAATTGATTGGTGGTAACCCTATTTGATTGTTACAATATCCTACCCCAAAATTAAATTGGAAAAATTTGAATTTTAAGAGAAAAATATTTTTATATTTTTGCATCATATTTTAAGGGTGGGCACTTGCCCCCCTTCTCTAACACTTGGGTCCGCCTCTGGGTGAAGAGCAAGATGTAGCATTGCGAAGCGTGTGTTCGTTCTGGCAAAGAAATCTACCCGCGAAATTTACCCGGGTAGCCCCCTCCCTGCCCGGGTAAATAATTCAAGCATTAATCCAGATTTAAGAAATCTACCCGGGTATCTTCCTCCTTACCCGGTTAAGGTAAAATTTTCAAAAAATACCTGGGTAAGGAGGGGATATCCGGGTAGGTTGCTTGGTCAACTGTTAAACAGGGGCAGATTGGTGTTATGTTTTTTGGAAGGGTTAATTTTTCGAAATAGTTTCTAATCAAGGGCAATTCGGTAATTAATTATTAAATAAGGGCTACAGTTAGGGTTGAAAGTGGGTTGGGCTGTGTAACACCCCGTTTATATCCGGTAATGTTATCATACTATCGTATTAAGCAGCGCTTAATTAAAAATGCGGAATATCTTTTTCTTTTCAATTATGATGTCATTATCATTACCAACTTGGTTATTAATCCATTAATAAAACATCGCCTGTATGCAATTGCAATAAAACAGCTAACTGAAATACCTCATAACATAGATAATAAAAGTGTGGCTCTAGTCACGGAACTACAACAACGTAGACCGGACCGTCTAACAGTTTATACAACTTCAATCTAAAAGTACTAACATAAAGTGTCATGGACAATCCTCATGCTCACTCAAATAAGGCAACACGCCCAACATCAATCTCAACAACAACAATAATCATAAATAGCGGAAAACATAAACAGCATCTATATCCAGTCATGGCAGCAATACAACATAATATCATCAACTAAACTCTGGCCTCCTTCCGCCAGAGGCATGAGTCACCATACTACCGGAACCTGAAATAAGCATTCCCCAAACGTGGGGTGAGATCTCTAAACAAGAAATCTCAGTAAGACAAGGGGTCCTCAAGGATCTTCCACCCCAAGCTCACTTACATGTGCAATATAAGTTCAAAAGCAATTATCATCATCAGTTCTAAAATAGTGCAATGCAGCAGATAATCATGTCATGTGTGTCAATTCTATTCTACTGGTCAGAGAAATGCAGGATTTACATACGCCAAATACCCACACCAGTGCAAGACGCTACTTGCATTCACCCCGGATCACCATCTCGTATGACGCCACATACTCAGGTTTACCGTCAAGATGAAACAACACATGCATATTAAAAGCCATTACACATAAAGCTCAACAGCATTTCAAATATTCAAAGCATGTAACACAGCATGCATACAACCATACCCCCATGGGACATGGTGGAACCACAACATGGCTAAACCGAGGACACGAAAGCTTACCTTGCAAGCTAACACCCAAGGCCAAGAGTCCACAGCTCAAAGTCCAAACACAACAGATTCACAATCTGTTATGGACCAATACTATATCAATAATAATGCACCACAAGCATATAACTTAAAGACAACGTCTTTCCTTACGTTTTACGTCTTAAGGCTCCATACCAATCCATAAGCCCTTAATCATACGATTCTGACTTAGTTCATTCATTACAGAAGTTCAACTTCATCAAACTAGGGTCCACAAACCCCCAATAGCCTACTGTTCACACAGCACAGCTACTGTTCTACGAAATCCCAGAATATCCGGATATTCCACGGGATCATATCTGGATATGCAATATCCGGATATTTCACTGTACATATCCGGATATCCAGATTCCCATATCCGGATGTCCAAATCCCATATCCGGATACTTCTCGGGCACATATCCGGATATTTCACGACAGAATGCAGAAACTGCATTTCGTGAAGATATCCTTCCAAGGTTGGGTTTTTACCGCTTTTAAACACCTAAACATGCATTTCTATGTGTGTTTGACCAACCCCAACATTAAGTTATCATCTTTTAACCTTTACATGCATCAAGGTTCCATTTTTAAGCTCAAAGACTCAAGATCAAAGGTGATGAAGCTTACCAAAGCTCAAACTCAGAAAAAGGGTGCTCTTGGAGCTCACATAACAGCTCCAAGATTCTGTCTCTCACTATACACGAAAATACCACCCAAGCAAGGATCTTTCTTCACAAAGATTTCTCCTTGGAGCTCCAACAACCCAAGGAAGAAGCTCACACACTCACACAAGGTAGTTCAGACCCCAAACAGCCTCCACACAGCCACCACACTCAGGAAAAGAGCTCCTTTCACACTCACAATGATCTCTCCCACTCACCCAAGGTACAAAGTGAAGAGAAAATGAAGAAGAGAGGTCACAAGACTCACAAAATGGTGGTGAAGCAATGGAACAGTGGAACCAGCAGCTGACCAGTCCCACACTCACGTAGAGAAACTGTTTTCTAGGGTTTTGTGCCCTTAATAAG